TTACCGGCGTAAGACCATCATGGTGGCTCTGGTGTCGGTCAGCTCTCTCTGACGCTCTGTCTCTCTCTCTGTCTCACTCTCTCTCTCTCTCTCTGTCTATCTCTCTCTCTGTCTCTCTCTTACACACACACACTCTCTCTCTCTCACACACACACACTCTCTCTCTCTCACACACTCTGTCTCTCTCTCTCTCTCACACACTCTGTCTCTCTCTCTCTCTCACACACTCTGTCTCTCTCTCTCTCACACTCTCTCTCTCTCTCTCTCACCCTCTCTCTCTCTCTCCCCATAGATCTGGTCCGCGACCACAGCTACAGACGTAAGACCATCATGGTGGCGCTGGTGTCGGTCAGCTCTGTGTCTCTCTCTTTCACACTCTCTCTCTCTCTCTCTCTCTCTCTCACCCTCTCTCTCTCTCTCCCCATAGATCCGGTCCACGACCACAGCTACAGACGTAAGACCATCATGGTGGCACTGGTGTCGGTCAGCTCTGTGTCGCTGGTCATCGTGTTGAGCTACCTGGTGTACCGGGTGTGTCTGAACCCCAAACCCTCCAGCCCCCAGCCCTCCACGCTAACCCCAGGGGATGGAGACACGGAGAGTGTGACACCCAGCGATTTGAACATCGAGGATCTCAAGGTAAATGGCTGTCTGTGTGTGTGTGTATCTGAGTGTGAGTGTGTGTGTCTGTCTGTGTGTCTGTCTGTGTGTATGTGTAATTCTCTCTCTTCTATTTCTCTCTCTCTCTTCTTCTCTCTTCCTCTCTGTGGGTGGCTGGCGGGTGCTCTGGTGTGGTTTGCTCCTTCTTTCCTATCAAACATCTATCATCCTTATCTCTCCTTCTTTTTAAGTGTTTGTTACTCTCTTGTAACACCTCAATCTTCGGCACTTATATATGCCCTTACTGTGTTGCAAGTGCTGTAAAACTCTTACTGAAACAAGAAAATCTCCCTCCCTCTCTCTCTCTCTCTCTCTCTTTCTCTCTCTCTCTCTCTCTCACACACACACACACACACACTGACACACACACACACATACATGTACACGTCCATTGTTCTGTCCATCAGGTGGAAGACGTGTTGGTGCGGGGTCGCTACAGCGAGGTACGGAGGGGTCACCTGGGGGAACAGGAAGTGG